GATATGAACTTGCAGGAGAAGGATATATTTTGAGCTATTTAATTTATTTCAAAAAAGAGAGCATGATATCTCTAGATAGCTGTTCAGTACATGGACTGCATTTATAAAAGCAGGATTGTTGCTAGAATCTCATGTTCTTATGTCAAAAAAGACAAGATGAGAGTTTCTCTTCTGACTTCTGAATGCCTTGAAAGGGTCCAAGTTCTAAGAAATTTGAGATTAAAGTACACAACAAAACCTCATCCAGTTTTGAAAATTGGCTCTAAAAGCACAGAGAAATTTATCTTGGAGGAAGGGTAAATTGTTTGGCTTTAGTCTGAATTTCCTCTGTCCACCGTGGGGACCTCTTCCTATAAGCAAAGTCATCAAAACCCCTTCTAGTTATTGACCAAAAAAGCTCACTTGAATGAAGGCTCAGAAATCTCAAATAATAGCTGCTTTATTTTGTTATGTGAGGAACAAAGAAGTCAGTTTCTTTCAGAAAGACCAACATTTTGTTTTTAATGAGACTGTACAAGAAGCAAGGGGTTTATAACACTATTTAGACTACACTTGCAAAAAGAGAATAGTATTCTGCATAACTTTACTATTAATTCAGAAGTTGAACTGCATTTTGTGTCTAGATCTATCAGGTCTGATTAAGATTGAAAATTAAAAGGAAAATAATATTGCAGGTCAGATAAAGCAAATATATTGAATTAGAAGGGAAGAGTCAGTTTCAACAATAAACCATAGTACCATTTTGCATACAAAACTATGGTCCTAAAAATGTTCCATAGAGTTAAAGCAGAAGATTTAGAATTACAATTTCTACTGATTATAACCTTAAAAATACAGCTAACCAGAATTTTCAAAGGAGCTTCAAATTCAGAATTCAAAACCTGATATGATTAAATCAGTGGTAAACACAGTGATTAAAATCAACGAGAGCTTTAACTACTGATAAGCTTAGGGAAATTTTAGAGGAAATAACACTTAGGGGTTCCCCAATCTTTATGGACTTGTTGATACATTTGGAATTTTATAATTTGTCCTGAGAACTCTTAAAAAATGGTGACTTAGGAGAGTTACTGTAAAATATTGTAAAGCATCAATTTGTTTGAATACTATCTGCTACTCTTACAGCAGAATGCTAACTTGCAGCTTGACAAAGAAATGAAATAAAAAGTCTCAGACTATTTTTAAGCCCAATGTCAAACTACTGTATATATTTGATTCCATAAAGCGCGTGCACACACACACAAACCCATTTCAGAGAATCCTAGCCTTAGGAAATCATCTGTCCTTTGGAATTACCAAATTAGGAGAATATATTTAGTACCAGAATGTATTAAAGGAGCCTACTTACTTATTAAATAAAAGCTAATTTGATTCCAGTGAAAGTTGTTCAGTTGTTCATAAAGGCAGATCTATTTGATATGAAAGTGACGATTCCAAAGAGATATGTCAATTTAAGAGACTTTGGGTGGAAAAGTTCCTTTAAAATACCTGTGGCCAGATTATTGGTAGGATGGAAAAATGAAAGAGGCATATATGAGGGGGGGAGTTATGAAAGATTCATTAGTTGTGGGAAAAGATGCAACGGGAGCTGATACAACAGTATGTGTTTGGACCAGGACTTAAAAGAAATAGAATAAAGAGGCTGGAAATGCAGAAAGCTCAGCTGCTCAGACTTGCTCTGAAACAAATGCACCATGGAGTGGATGAAGAAAGAAGAGCCCAGACACAGAATTCTCTCCCTCTTCATGCTGACGTTTTCTGTACAGTCAGCAGCCCAGTCCTGTATCCATTTTCAGAAAGACCTATAAACTGAGAACTCTCTAGAATAGAGGAAGGTAGAAGCAAGAGGAGAGACAGAGAACGAAGGAAGGGTCACTGAGGGGCACAATTCAGCTGGGAGAATAAACTCTGTAGAAAGTGGTGGCCCCAGACACAAGGGTTTAAGCGAGACTAGTTAAACAGCTAATTGGGCCAAAATAAAAAATAAAAAAATACAGCTTTCAGGTAGTATGGATTTCACGTTTTGGGCCGAATGTCTAGGCATGCAAGAAAGGCCAAAGGCTCCCCAAGTATTTTGATTGGCCAGATACTACTCAGGATGTGTAGAGAGTAAGGAAGATGACCTTGACAGAGATACGTAGGATCCGTTGCCTGGGCAAAAGGGGCTGAAGCATTTTTTTTTTTAAGTCCAGAACAATGAGATAACATTAGGAAGCAGCTCAGATAGATGCTTTTCTAATTCACTGGAATATAAGGAGAAGGAGGAGGAGGAGGTGTACAGCACAAGCAGACTTCCAAGATTATGGTGCAATAACTAATCTCAATAACAGTCGTTTTAACCTTCTGGTGGAGTTGATTTCCTGGTCTGGTCTATCTAGGGGGGCTGACAGGATGTGAGAGGTTGTTGCCAGTCCTGTCCTGTTTGCCAAAAGCTCGAAAAGAGGGGGCATTAAGTAAAAACCCTTTTCACTCTCTCTCTCCATCCATCCATCCATCCATCCATCCATCCATCCATCCATCCATCCATCCAT